CCGTAAGCGGAAGGAAACGCGTTTCCGATCTCGCCCACTTATAATCCAGTCCAAATATAATGGCTTCCTCGATCGATGGCGCAACACACAACGTGCATGTAACGCAAAGAGCATCTCAGGATCTCACTCTGCGAATTCCACGTATTTGGCTGAAACAATTAGTGCTCTCGCGATATTAATATCAGTGGCCCGCCTCCGTGTTGCAGGTAGTATCAAAACTGAGGGAATGCGGAATCGTTATGTGATGCAGTAAGCTTGAGAAGCAAGGGAAAATAGCAGGTAAGAGAGAGATAATTAAATCTAGAATTCCGTATTGGTCATTCTCGCTCGCGTGGCATTAATTCGTTATTAGACTATCACACTAACTCTTTAGCATATATACTTCTAACTCGCGCAAGTAAATTGCAAATTTACTTAGTGTCACTTATCGCAAAAAAAAAAAAAAAAACAATGATTATGTTGAGTCGTTGAAAGAGGTGCGAGCACGAAGTGTGAAGAATGAGTGGACAAGGGGAAAGTTCATGTTTGTACACATGTACCGGGGAAAATAGAGTTGGCAAGAGGCGAAAAGATCGAAATAGAAGCGACGACCCTGACCATTGATGCGTTACTCTCGAGAGGAAATCACAGTCGACTGGTGTAGCGTCGTATCCTCCCTCGGGATTCAGAAATTATCGTCGACAAGATCGTAACTCCTGCAACATCGGCTTCTTCGTAGGATATCCGGCCTAGGCTGCCCCGTTCAATGCAACCGCCGGTATCGCGAATAATTAATACTGCGGTTTGTTTGCACGAACAATCACAGAGACGAGCATGAACATGGTCCCTCTCTCCTGTGTTCGCATCAGCGTCGTCTTTCTCTTTCCAACAATTGACTGCGAGAGAGATGTTAGATATGTCAGCATTCTCTAAATGTTAAGCATCTTGATCCAAAGTCCGTCACATTAGAGCCGACGTCAGATACCTACAGGAAATCGCGCGTCGTATCGGTAAGGACTATCAGGTAATCAAGGATCGTCAAGGGATTGTGGAATATTCCGCATTACCGTGTCTCTTATGGATGCACAATTTGCCGATTGCTACAGCAAGGAAGTACAATACCTTTGCAACAGGCCATAATGATTTCGAGAATTTACTTCCTCGAGAGAATATTAGTCATAAACGTCGCATTTCTCGACGCGCAAAACAACTCGTATAAAGTCGCGCCAAGTTTGATGTCTTATTGTATTTAATAAAAAGCGGAAACTGAGAACATTATACATTTTTTATCGAAGTACAAAATTTTGAAAGACTTTTCAAATTGAATCGTATATACATATTTTCTATTAATTCTACGCAATTCGTATATTTATATTAATTATTACCTAAATACGTAATTATATATGTGAATACCAGCTCCATAGGAAATTATGCTTATTGCCAACATCCAATTTCGAGGGAAATAAAATTTTGTCTAGGAAATGAGATTTGTTCATAGTGTAGTAATAGATGGCACATGATGGTGCATAACCATTTGGCAGCCTCGGTTGGCTCTTGCGAGATCAAACTCGTAATCTGATGGGGCAGTTGCAAACACTCACAATATAACAGACGTTTTGCCAATAGATACAAACATGCTGCTTGAGGCAAAAGTTTTGCAACGAGGCAATTATAGAAAATTGCGAAATACACAAATTGCCCCAACACAGTACTTTAACACTTTTTTTTTATTAATATTAATAGAACATAATTTTTATAGAAGTTAAAAATTTTTTAAAGTCTGTTCACACATAGAATACAAACGAGTCAACAATGTTCGTATTTTAGATACTTTGTTCAGTTCAAATGTCATTTTGTACATTATATTGCAGAAATATGTTATAAATATATTATGTATCTATGATTTCTTTATATACTATATATATATATATACAATACAAAAGTTTATGTTGATATAGAGCTGAAATCACGATTACTTAAAAGAAGAAAAATTTCCAAGTGCTAATCTCCACGAAATCCAACGAGTTTTAAGGACTCAGCTTCAATTAGGTTTAGGACCGTAAAAATACTTTTCCTGGGTGCCTCCTTTCCTTACCGTTCCCACTTCCACAGGAAGCAATTTCGGCTCTTTAATAAAATTTTAAAATTTGCCGGAGAGTCGGGATAATACATAAATCGTTTTATTCCTGAAGCACGCTTATTTCCGCACTTCATAAGGCGCGGTAGAAATGAAAATATTATAGCTGGAAGCACATCGAAAGAGCTCTCTATTCTGCGATAAGAGATTTTGGAAAAAATATGTATTATTACTATTTCTGAAAAAAGATAACTAAATTAAAAATGCGAAATGTAATCTTCTATTCGAATAACTAAATTAATTTTGTTAATTTAATTTTGGATACGTTTATTAATAAACCAATTAATTTTCTAATTTTTAATATTATAAAATTATACTTTAATAAATTATAATAAAATTTTAGAATATATATGTAAAGAATATATTTTACAATTTTATTATAATTCATTAAATATACGTAATTGATTGCAAAATATAATTTCAGGATACTTTATATAAAATTTATTTAACCTTTCTTTAATGAGAAAATTTATTTAAAAGTATTTTTAAGCACTCTAGATATTGTATATTTTCCTGAATATTCGATGTATTAATCGAAATCTTTCACGTCTTAAACTTTGTATAAATAAATATACTGTTTAAATAAAAAGTAAAAGTTAGCGTATGCAGTAACTTGTGTCACATAGGCTGCATAATAAGTTACAGCAAAATTTATTATAATGGATCACTGACGAGCTGTGTGCATGATTAATTTTGAAACATCGAGTCCGAATAAAAAGTTTGCGACGATTTTTTAATTATAAACAACTAAACGACATATTTTTATTTGTATAATACGTTCATGTCAAGATTTTACCTTTACTTTACAATTTCGTGTAAAATACATAAATATCTTAATCATTTACATTTTTTATGTTCTTGTTTTATCTGATCAAAAACAAAATATTATCCAAATCTTCATTCCTACAATTTATTCATTAGCTGATATCACACATAAGTTAGTGCATAAATAATGATTACTGGAGCACGACAATAACGCGAAAAGATATAAGACATAACGTATAAATGGCATGTTTGTTGCTAATTAGCAGAATTTGTGCCATTATATACTACATAACACGGCGCGGTGCGAGTTCTAACACCTTGCGAGTCGTAATAAGACGCTTTATTATTTCAAAGCACCAGAGAATATCTGAGGTGTTCCTTCCTTCTCTCAGGAGTCACTGTACATAAAATTCACCATTACTCATGTTGTAGCTTGAAATATAAATAAACTACTCGATGTCAGCAACGTCGTTGCATTAACGTACGCTCTCTTCGCGTCTTTACTAGTTTGAAGATATATTTACGTTTCTCTCTCTCTCTCTCTCTTTCTCTCTCTTTCTATTAAAACGATAATACTACAAGCGTGCTTCACTTAATCGTGTGTCCTATTAGAGAAAATTAATAACTTATTATTAGCGATGCGAAAGGATTGCGATACCGTCGGCACAAAAAACCAATCACGCGATATCGGCTATATAGCCACGCAGTATGCGACTGCCATGTGCTAAAACGAGTTACGTTAAAAAGCGTTAATTTTCCGCGGCGACCGTCGTCGGCATCGATTATCGAAAGCGCACCCCTTTGTGTCCCGTCCGAGCAAAGTGGCACGCGCTTTTTATTATTTTTACTGAACGCTTTTCGCGAGTATCGCGGCGGCCAACGTTGACTCGCCGTTTTCATTTCCGCAGAGGTGCCGTTGACCAACCGCGTAAGGATAATGCATCGATTCCGTTCGAACGTGCGCAAACGTACGCCTATAGACACAAATATACACACATTCATATACACAGACGTGTATTCTCGCGATGTCATAAAACAATTTTGTACATTTTTATCGCGAAAACATTTCCACGGTCGCGGGGTTGGCGCTATCTATAAAACTATAACTTCTCCATGCGTGGTTTGAGCGCGGCCTGGTAAAAGAGCAAAAGAGAATCGAAAAGGGTATTTCCACGAGAAACGCTCGATCTCTCGTTGATAGGAGAGATGGGAAATAAGTAGAAAACGAGAGAGCACAGGAACAGACAAACGACAGGGAAACGAATTGGCCAGAAGACGACGGACGAGAGAGAAAGAGAGAGGAGCTGTTTAACAAACTGCTGAACTCACACCCCGCGGGATTTTATTTCTACTTAAATGGAGTTGCCCAGATACGCACTGTGATCCTCGTCCTCCAATCCTTCGCTTTGAATTTATTTGTCCTGTTCGTTAACTTCTCCATCCCTATAGAACTTTGCCGACGTAGTTCAGTAATGACGTCGCGTCGTGCCGCTCAAAGCATCTTAGTACCAATTTTCTAAATCGCAAATTACAGTATGTATCTATGTGTTGGCGTAAGCGTAACCGACGTGATTTCGTAATTTAGAGATAAAGATCTGTATTTGCATAATGAACTTACTGGAAACTCTCGCTAGAAACTATCTGATTTTCATCTTGTATTTATGTAAGTACCAGAGCCGGCCAAATAGGAAAATACAAACCGCTCGTATTAAATTCACATTAATCACGAATTGCATAAAATATATTGGAAATGAATTTATAAATTATCTTCGTTCTTTTTAAAGTAAAATTGATAGAAACTTGAAATGAAAGGTTAACATAAATTCTCGCGTGATAAAGTTATTATAAAATTGACATGGTAAAAGTTGTTAATGATCTTATTATATTTTTGAATAAAAAAAGGATTGTTTCTATTAGCAGATAATATTGTTTTATAATTGTCACGAGCGTATAATGAAATTTGCACGGTCTAATGTCACTTATCAAAACCAGTCCCAATCATACAGGGAGACATCAGTGCGCGCAACGTGGCGTGCAATTGCAACAGCAGCACAGCGGAATGTATAGCTGCAACTGCGCGTGGAAATAGGATGGCCGGGGCTATGATGTTGTGTCTCACCTTGTATGGTCCGAGATCCTCGACGATGCAGGTGAAAATGGCTTCGCGACCCACCGAGACTGTGAGATTGTTCAACGGTTTGCCAAACCTGGGTAAATCTGTAACACGTGAACGTCCCCGACTTAAGTATCACGCTATCGCGCGAACGCTCTACGTATAAACGGCGGTATACATACTCTTACTTACTTACTTACTAGTACTTATACTTATAGCCTACCTACGTACGCGCCGAAGTTTGCAAAGTACTCGAGAAACTCGGCAGTGAATAGCGCGAGTTAACGTAAGCGGGTCAAGCGAGGACTAAGCCTGGCACTTTATAATTCTACAATGTTCTTGTATGTTCTCGATTTTGAAAAAGAAAGGCTATTTAAAATCATTGCACGCCGTCATATTGTTGCGCCACGATAAAATTTGAAACGCCACTAAACGTTTATAAAGTAATTCTTATATAGAAGTTAGCTGGAAAGATTTAAGTCTCGTTTCTACATAGTTCCAAAGATTCAAAATGCAAAAGAATGAACAAATTAATTTCCTTATATTCCGATATAAAGTTATTTTAGTATAATGTAATAATATTTAATAGTAACGTATATATAATAGGGGATTAAGAAATAGAACCGTATAACGATTTTTACTGGTTTTCTTACATCAATTTTTAAAATACTTTGCGGTGAAATTTATTACAGTAATGAAGTAAACGTTATTGTAAGAGTGACAAGATTGTTTGTACAATATATAACAAAATTCCTTTCATTAAGCTCAGCTTTATAGACGGCTCGCTCATCAAGCTTAGAAACTTCTAAGGGGCCATTAATAAGCAAGCCAATTACTACTTCAAAGAAAATTTTCGAGACAAGATAGTATACTTATGAAACTACGCGTGATGATACGAAATAAGTTAGCAACAGTTTATAGCATGGTACGTGCATCATCACACTGTTATAGTCCGGAATTTAATGTGTACTCAAGTATTTCTCTCACCTAAACAGAATCGATGTTGTCCCATGCGACATTTGCATATTCAATTTTGCGCCAAATACTTGTTTATATCGAATTTTCGGAAAACAGCTCAAAATCCGGAGAGAGAATCGCAGTGAATGAATTGTTAATATTTTACACCACATCGAGTCATTTACAAATATATATATATATATCTTTCGTGTTCTTATTTTTTTCTCCTTTATTATATTCTCTTTTATACTACTTTCTTATATTATTCATTACATTCTCTTTTATTTCCGAACAGCAGCTTTTAAAATAATCCGATTATATCTTCTTTTTTCTTACACGATTTTGCTGTGTCATATTGGCGTTACCGCAATTTGAAATCCTATTTTTTTGCTGCTCTATGCAAATTTAATAATCTCAAAAATATACCACTAAATAATTACACCGTTGCAACTTGAAAACGAAATATTCGTGTTTGAAATAGCAGATGCATTGAAATAGTCGACACATAATAAACAATAGAATATCGTTCGATTTCCAAATACAAATGTTGCTTCTCTTAAAAAATTTCTTTGCTAATTGCTGTACTTAGTTGTAGTATAACTACATACCTTTTTCGATAATAAGTTACAGTATAATTACACTAAAGTCCACTTGCGAGCGCATATTCATAGTTTAAGCTTCATTAAGTTTGGTATAAGTTTCATCATACAAGATATATACACACATATACACGCGCACGCATGCACACACATATATTCGTCAAAGAGAGATGAGATATGTCCAATTATTGCGAACTGATTCATGATCCGCGACAAGCGGTCGTTTATAAGATCAGGTTTGCGTACGTCTATCAATGCAATGCTCTCATGCATCGCCCGTCACCGCTGCTCATTTATGGGTGCCGCTTAAAACAGTATTTTAATTTCGCTAGTCTAACAGACAAAATGTAATTATATCGTAGTAAATAAATTCCCGTAGAATGAATCACATTATAATGTGAATACTAATCGCTTCATTTATAGTCGAGAATCTAAATGATAGTTTTTTCCTTTATCTCATAATCGTTTGATAATTTTTTGTTAACAAAATAACAATAGGACAAATTTCAATTAATTTACTGACTAATAAATAATATTTTATTATCATATTATAAGTTTGTGCAACTATAAAAATAATATGTGCTTGGAAGTAAATAATTCACGATATTAAAATATACAAAAATTAATTATGTATTAATTAGCATTATCTTGTCTTTCAACAATTAACATGTGATAATAAAAAAATTTCAAAAAAGTGATATTTAATTGAAAATAATACATATTATACATTCTAGTTACAACGTTACTAATGTTGTTGCTTAAATATTCCAAAATGTTTTGTTTACTGATATATATTTATTATATGTAATATGTATTTGTGTCTATACGCCGTTTAAGATTTATCTAGTTACTGTTTAATTTATAAGTTTTGTAATTACTTAAACTCAAATATAAGCAATATCTTTTCATAAAAGTTATTAATTGAATAACTTTTACAAATAATCTCAGCGGTATATTGACATATTATAAACGAAGAGCTAATTTATGCAATAATTGAGTTAATAAACGATTATTTTACAATTTTATGAAATATATGAAAGAACTTAAAACATGTTTAATGTTATTTAGATATAATTACAATACTTTATTTTTTTTTGAAAATGCTTAATTTAGTGTCATATTTCATAAAGTAATCTTTCAAGTGCATCGCAAACCGCTAAAGATTAAATTGAAGTTATAAATCATGTGTTAATATAACCCGATTCACGAAGAACTAAAATGAAAAATAATGAGCACACTCCCTCTCTTAAACAGCAATCTAATCTGATTTCTGGTTACCAAGTAAATGGAAAATAAAGATCAGCACGCAAAGATGTTGTGAATCAATAATATCTCGGCAATCGAAACTATAATTATTCCCGTAGCAAATAGATACAAAATATATCTTAAGTCAACAAAATTAATTGAATTTAAAGCTCTTGTTTACAATGACTGAGTTCAACTTTATATAGATGCACAACAAAATGATCTCTTTACAAATACGGTGTCGAAACGTATGTGAATTTTACCTACTAATTTTACTATGTTTGCGAATTTTGCGAATTTTATTTTAATGTATTATGATTTGATTTCATTATATTTATAATTTTTAAGAAAACTATTTGGCTCTTTTCTCTTATTTTCAACTTATTTGTTCTTTACAAATAATATGCTTCTTTTAGCACTTTGCTACATACATGCTGAACTTTCATGTAAAAATAGATAGAATTTTTTAAACATTTGTAAGAAAATATTTCCCAAAATACGCATACACTCTATACATAAAAAAATATTACAGTTCTTAATAAATTGTATTATAGTTTAATATTATATCTGGAACAGGGATCGAATAAAGAATAGAATTTAAAGATACGTCAATATAATAGTTAAATTTTATGAGAAACATACAAAATTAGAATTGTCTATATCGATTTTGATTCCAATATGAAACTTATTCCATGTGATTCTTTCATTTTATCTACAATTTGTCTTTACCGATTTGATACTATGTATTTTATTTTCAGATCAAGTCACATGTCTAAAATTAGTCGAGTTTTTCTTCTTCTCTTTTTTCAAATTCTTCAATAATTTGTGTATACCGTTTTAACATATTCTACTCAAGTTGCGCGTTGTATTCAAAAACTATATTTGAAAGCACGTGAATTCTGGTTTGCCCTTATACGTAGACCTGTATAGTCCGACGTATTTGGACGTGTAATCTTCAGTCCGACCTGGGATCTATGTAAATCCAGATGGGGAGATTCGAATGCGCGAAGAGGGCAAGAGAGATAAACAGAGGAACGGACAGAGGAGAACAGGTACAGCGAGGAAACGATAGTGGATAAAACGAGTTCCGAATCCTCGCACGTTCGCGTATTACCATTGATAGAGGCATCAGGGCTTCTCCTGAAAATAAACGTAACGATCCTATCCGAGATCGAAGGATCAATATCCGTCGCGATGACCCGTGAAACGGTTACACCTAAAGCGCACAACCAAACTGTTTCCAGAATTATACTCATAAACAATGCAAACGTCGGCGGTCTCTAATCGAAGAAGTAAGCAAGCAGACAGGCAAGCAGCGCACGGCGCGTATACGCGACTTCACCCAAGCCGAGTGACAGCTTTCGGTATCTCTTATTTCGGGCACAATATCCGACCACGGAGCTCATCAATCCTGCGCGTCGGCGTAGCTACGAGCCAGAGCTATACACGTATGAGACAAACTTGCACGTACCTGTAGGTAACTGGAAATTTTGCGATACTATCTATCATTCCTTCATCCTACCGTAAAAAGAATACCAGATTCCGTGTATTTCGAGAATGTAATATGGACTTTCCCCTCTGCGTCGCGTGAAAACGGGATTAAGGCCGTCCTTTTATTTCTATTCTACGTAGATGAACGAAATAAACGTTTATTGAATTATGAATCAATCAATTTTGATCGATTTTTACGTACGTGTACTGCAAGTGTGAATTTCATACACAATACATAAGCTGTCAATTTTACATTAAAGATACTACCGTCTCCTGATGTATATAAGTGAACTTATTAGTAGCTAAACAGATATGTAAGCGTTGGGAGTTGACGGATTTTATGCTACTTTATTTCCATTGCACAAGAAACAAAAGAATGGCTAGACAATAAAAATTGAAAAATTGCAATGCTTCAACTTTGCACGAATTTGATACGGAAACTTATTTCAAGTACAACAGAAAAATTTCCAAACTTGTGCAACTTGCTACATTGCAACATCCCGCTACTTTAAGATCAAGGTGAGATCATTTTGTATCAAGCATCTATTCCCATCTGTTTATCTTCTCAAACTTAACTATGTTGAACTTTTATGGAAGTTCGCATATTTATTTCATTAGACGAAATAATTAAAATTGTAAAATTATATAAATCTCTATGTAAATTATTTTTGCAATACAAAGGAAATTGTGTTATTCTCGTGAACTGTTATGTTAATATTTTACGTTACAGTACTTGGTTATTTTTAAAAATTTGAAGTCATTTCTAAAATCTACTTTGACTTTTAGAAATATATAGATTTATAATAATCTGT